GTCAAAGGCAGAGCCAGGAGGACTGCAAATTTGAGCTCAGCCTGGGCAATGTAGCAAATTAGTAAGATCCTCTCTCATAAAAAAGAAATAATAAGTGCTGGGGACGTAGCTCAGTGCAGAGGGGCTGGATCCAAGCTCCAGTAGAAAAAGAGGAAGAGAAAAAGTGAGAAAGAAAGCTAGAGAAAGAGAGAGAGAGAGAGAATGTGTGTGTGTGTGTGTGTGTGAGAGAGAGAGAGAGAGAGAGAGAGAAAGAGAGAGAGAGAGAGAGAGAGAGAGTGCAGGCAAGAGTGAGAGTGAAAGAGAATATTCTCAGTTATTTGCTCATAGAAACTAAGCATATATTGCTTTTAGCTTATTAATTTTTTTTTTGCTCCAAATGCCCTCAGGGGTGGTTTGCCTGGCTCATGGTTGTGGGGATCGAACTACAGCAACCTGAGGCTGACAGCTATGTGGAAGCAGCCACTTAAAGAACTGAGCTACGGCCAGGCCCCCTAGCTTATTAATTTTTAAGCAAACTAGTGGACCATAATTCAGTGCCATTTTATCCAGAAGTAAAAATAGAAACAAGACCCTTTGTTTTAAAAAAAACCTGAATAATTTTTAAGATTTGAAAGCTTGGAAGAAAGTTAGCATTATTATAACAGTGAAACACCTTGATCATGGGATGCTACTAATGGTGGTTTTGTTAATTTCTTTAAACCTCTATTTGTTTGTTTGGTGTCATAGATATAAATAAGTCCCCAGGGAAGTGCAAGTCTGTAACTGCAATGTGCCTTTCCAACATTCCCCAGATTGTGAATGTTGAAGGCGGAGTCTCCTTTCTGGATGCCGTCACCTCCATGGATTACTTCCCGGGACTGAATCTGGAAGGCTATCCCAACAGAGACAGCACCAGGTATGCCGAGATTTACGGCATTCCATCTGCTCACACTGTGTTGCGGGGGACATTGAGATACAAGGTAAGCAGCTTCATTTTAGATTAAGCATGTTGCCAATTTCAATGTAAGTGGTGTATGTACTTAATTTTCTTTAGTAGTACAAATATAAGATGATACACAAGTTGAAGACAGTTTACTTAGAAATCTTGTCTGTTTTAGGAGACGCAACGCTAAATAGCAGAAGGCACTTTGTTCACTTTAGAAATGGCAGGGAGGCAGTTGGTCAGCCTTAGGAGTAATGAGGTTTGGGGTTCACATGACCTCACCAGGACTTT